CATCGATTTTTCATGATTTCACAATGCAAAGAGCCATTTAAGCACTAAATGGCTCTATATAGAAGTCATGATTCTACATACAGTACAGGTGTACAGATAATTTCCATCACTAAATCATTATATCTCTATTTGTTTTACGTAGGTTTCTGTTCAATTCAGTTGTCCTTATTTGTTGATTTCTTGTGTAATTGGATCTAATTGGTCAACTGATGTAACTTGTGACACACTTGTGAACCAGAATAAAACTTGTTTTGTTAATTTTCACTTATCTGTTTCTGAAAAGGCATGTAGTTTGTGTCACGGGGTTGTTCAGGGACTGAAATTCGTGCACAAGCACAGAGGTGTTGAAATGTAAATAGGATAAATAAAGAGCTAAAATAAAGGCATTTAGGTTTTCAGTGTAATGCGCGTGCTTGAGTTTAACAGCGCGCGCGCGCCCTCTGGCGGGCTTCCACCAACGGTCACCTGTGCCAGAAAACCTTTTAAACGATATCTCACACCGTATTCTTATCTTTCTTAGCTTGTGAAGTGCATAATTGAGGAAAAGATAGGTACTAAATCAAGCCAAAGTCTTTCCAAGACTACAAAATTCACCGAAATGTCGTGTTGCCTTTGTAAATAAAGGCAGGAGTCTTATAAAAACGACCATGGCTAATATGCTAGCGTCCAGCTTAACACTTCAAGTGTGCGGCTCCTGCATAGTTTGTTGTTCTGGCTCCTATTCCACTTTTGGACGTCGGTAAGTGCCTGATAATTATGATATTCTGGCTTATGTGACAGACATATTGGCCTAAAAGTCACACTGCCTGTTTTTTTTTCAGTCTGTATTTCTGTGACATCTTTTTTAAAAAGTCTTTGATCTGTCACTAAGCCTATAAAGGGAATAAAGACTAAGACTCAATATGTCTGATGAATAGTAGGTTCATGTACAGATTCTGGGCTAATGTCTTGCTACTGCAGTGAGGAAAGAGATGTTCAGTTGGCTTCTGTGGATGAGTTCAGGTTAAGGTGGTTATCCATCTAAAGTACACATCTGTTTTACAAGATAGGTTTCACAGTCTTGATATCAAAGTCCAAACTCTTTAAGCAGGCATGGTCGAAGGCTTCAAGTTGAGGCCTTATTAAAAAATGGACCATTTCTTCCCTTCCCCAGCCCCTTCATAACAGAATCGACCGATACATAACCACAGAAAGTGATCAAAACCATTAACTGAAATGTGTGTTTATGCTGGTGTGTCTGTTCCTGTTCTGCTCAGGTGCAAATGTGGAACCTAAATGATAAACAGGAACATTGCTGTGACCCCGCTCTGAGACATGCGTGGGAAAGACACACGCAGCACACATACATATATGCTGACAAAGGTGTCTGACCTGTGTGATGGTGTGCCCTTTCGTCTTTATTTAGTTTTATTTTGATGTATTTTTATTTAGGAGGAAATCCTTCTGTCTTTCCCAGAGTTGTGGAAGCGCTGTGAGTTTTAGAGAACTTGGTTTCCTGAGCAGATGAGGATGTTCCCAGCTAATCTTTCACAGGGTAAGTAGCCTAGACAGTCCCCATGCTGAGGAAATGCGGACAGGTGCTCTTGGAAACTTCCACAAATGCTCCAATATTAAACACAATGAGCCACATTCATCTTTTTGTTCAGAAATACATCAACGACAGCCTACAAAACATACCCTATTTTTTATGTTCTAAAATCACTGTCTTGCTGATGCATTGACTTTTTTTAGGAGTCTGCTAAATGAATTACAGGTTAGAATAATTGCAGTATGCACATTTCAAGCAGTCACAACAAAAACTTCATAAAGACAAGGTGACATAATATTGAGGTAATTGACATAATATTGAGGAGTATAATTATTTATCAACTGTTTACTGTTAACAGCAGTAAAATAAAGCTTATTTCCTGTTTAAAACAATTAAGAAAAATAATATCTAATGTACATCACAGTCCAGATTAAACTAATGTTTGTGAACACATGAAGTTCAGGATGCAGAGAACTTAGGAATTTAAGAGAAGAACTTAAATAATATTTTGTTAAGTTTGTTATAAATAAACAAATAAATAAACAACAGATCCTAAAGACTGACACTGTCATTAACACAGACTGAATTTTTTTATCCTACATGACTGGCTTTTCCCTCCTGGATTCTTGCATTTAGGCTTATGTAACAAAATAACACCACCACATTTGCAGTAATTTGACAGATTTGGCACGAAAGCCAGGACGGCATGGATGTCTGAAAAGCTAATTTAGAAACAGCTCCAACACATACATGTTGAGTAATAACTCTCACTGTATGCAACACATTTCCGAATCTCGTGTTGATTAGGGATGAATCTGTGGATTGTATTAGTATCTGAGTTATTAACTGATTATCTGCTGGGTTTAAAGAAGGGCAAATAATAAAGATTGACTTAACTGAACAAAAGCAAACCATGCCAAGCCTTTACAAAATCCAGAAATACATAATATGTTTGTTTTTTAATAAACTGTTTTGTGTATAAAACACTCTGGTAGAAATACATATAAATAGGTGCGTCCATCAGGCTGTTTTGCACTATAAAAGAAATATGCATTATTGTCAAACAAACTGTTAACAAATTACCTCTGATTCATCAAGAAGGTAAATTGTAATAGATTTTTAATCAAGTAATTACGTTCAATCAAGAAATAATGACAGTCCTAATGAATAGCATTACATTTTAACATGTAAATCCTACATGTAACGCTCTTAAATGCCCCTTGTTCCTGCTAGAATGAAAAAAAAACAAGAAAAAAAGTTTTTTCAAGTACAGTTTGCTTGGTCCTGACAATTCAGACAGCAACCTTTGAAACTTAAAAGTTCTCACCAACGCCTTACCTCACTGGAACATTTTAAGATGGTGTGTATAAGTGGGAGTGTTATATATACTCGTAAGGGTCAAATCAGTGAAAATAGCTTATTGTGTCAGAGCCTGGAGCGCCGATCAAGTGTGAGTTTATATTTAGAAGCGGCACAACTGGACTGGGTTTGGGAAAGCCGTGCCTATGAAAGTGATAAGGCCAGGGAGGAGACTCATATTCCAAGGATTATAAAACTCACACACACACAGTCAAACACACATACATTCAAATACACATGCAGCCACACATACACATACATTCCGTTTCAGACAGGAGACGCCCTGTCCACTGCAGCTGCCTCTGATGGACATTGTGTCCTTCAGTTGCCGAACTTGAGTATAAAAGACAGTACGCTCACAGCTCCAGCATTCCTCTTCCTATTGAGAGCTTTTATTGTAGTCTGGCTGCATACAGAGCCACCACTATCAATTATGTTATTAATCGAGTAATCTAAGTTATTTTGATAATTAATTCAGTAATCAGAGTGTTTAAAAAAGGCCAAACAATAAACCTGTGCTTAAGTGAACAACACCAAAAGATGCACATCCTTTTAAAGATTCCAAATATGTTACTGGAAAAATCCAAAAAAGCAAGCCTTTAAAAGGATTTTAAAGAAGTATAAAAGCACTGAGGCAAAAAATACATGTAGTACATATAGAAGCCACCAATCAGCATGATATCATTTAAATAATGCTTTTTGGTGACTGTTTTTATTTAATTTTTGCGTTGTTGACTGAGCCATTTCTTGGTTTAATGTTTCACAAATACGGTTTTAGTGCAATACCATTCAAAAGTTTGTAATCACTTCTTATATTAGTATTTCTGTTATTATTACTTGCACAATGAACACAACGTGACTGCTCTCTCTTAGTCTGTTTTTGACTATAGTTGATTGTCTCTGTATGTGTCTGTGTTTAACTGTCAGAGCTTTTTAACTGTTAAATAATGTAAAAATAAAGTGTTTGATTCTGTAAAAAGCAACTAACATACTTACTAGAGGAACAGGTAAAGAATTTAAAACTGCATAATTTGCTGTTGCTGCAAATGACATTAGTGCTAGCAATACTTATACTTGTAACAGTGAAGTTATAGTTTTGAAGATGTAAGAGTTAGTGTCTCTACAGGTTGACCTCCTATGCTTCCTAGCATCCTGTTCATTATTTGAAAGCCATGAAATTGCACAAGACATATAGTGAATTCATCTAATTTTATACATTTACCTGAAACCAAATTGATTTTATGATGTTGAAAACATGGATTCCAAACTTTTGAACGGAAGTGGACATCGCAAGGGGCTCTGGGCTTGTCCTTCTGTACCTGAGGGTAATATTAGGATTTGCGTTAGTCAGCTGGTTAATTTGGGTGTTAGATTTCATCCAGCTGCTCCCAGCCCCCAGCACACACAGCCTTTTCTCTTCTACAAGCACAAACACACCCACTCAGGTGCTTCTGGGTGGGGACAAAGCCTATTGTTTGGCCTGTGGCTCACACAACAAAACACACGCACAGATACACCATATGGGTCCACTCTGTGTGTGGGAATCTGGGGGTCTGTCTGTAAAAACGTGTCGCTGGTGCATGTTTCCGTCGGTTTGCTAAAAAGGGACGGAGGGTCAGTGTCAGTGACCTCGTCCAAAAAGCCTCTTCCTTTTTCAAACAGAAAATGAGCTGCACACTCTGAGCAGCACATCAACCAGTGCAGACCAGTGCTAATTGTTTCTATTATGAGACCAAGCACAATACATGGCTTCTCCGTTGGCCTGACTTTTTTATTCTCAGGCTTTCACAGGCCTGTGTTTGTGTCAGGGTTTGAGAGAGTTTGTGTGTGGGTGGGTGAGCTCAGGCTCTTATTGATGTTAATGATGGACTTTGTTTGGTGAAGGTGCAGAGATTACGATCATATTTAAGTCATTGGAGCCAACAGAGCTGCCTTAAACAGGAAGAAGTGTGTTAATCTCAGTTTCCCTGTAGCAAGAATACACACATACACAAAGAGGAGAAAAAAGGAGGGTCAGAAGTGCACAATGCAAAGATGGAGTAGGGGGAGAAAAGACAAAAAAAGTAATAATGCTGAAAGAAAATCCAAATGATTAAAAACAAAGACAAAGAGGCACATCTTTGAGACTTTTATTTCCCAAAAGTGCAAAAAAGGTATGAAATTACATGTTAATACACTAATCACTGTACATTTCATTTTATAGAAAAAGATATTTACAGCATTAATGTGTCTTAGTTGAAACATTTAAAAGGTTTAATTAAACACATTTTAGTAAATTCATATAATTCTAAACTTTTATAGGCCATATAACTCCCTTCCCTTGTATGTTTCTATGAGTACATTTGCCAGTAAGGATGTGTTTGCTTGGTGTTGTAACAATTTCAGACAGTGTTAGGTCATTCATTACTGACCGCTCAGAATCTGGAAAAAGAAATGCATTCAATTTACAAGATTCAAATGTGAACATCATTACCACATGATTCATATATCACATCAACACAATTTTGTCTTTTGGTTTACTTGCTTTGGCAGTTGTGTTGATGTAATATATTTTATTCATTAACAAATGATGGACACATTTGAATAAAGTATATTCAGTGCATTATGTTTTTTAGTGTATTGTGCTATAGGGGCTTCAGGTGTTGTTGTAGTTACAGTAATACACAGCGGTACTAGCGTCGGACAGTACAGAGGAGATCAGGTCGGACCCCTGCATGGGTGCTTGAGGAACCCCGTACGACAGGTATTGCTCAAATTCACTACCATCCACTTCGCTTAGTATTTCTGGACCGTGCCGGTGGGCTTCCATGGAGGGACGCGAGTGCTGGTCAGCCGCGCCATGTTGGTGTGCATGACTGTCCTGGGGAGGCGACAGCTGCTCAACTGGACGTTTTAGTTGAGAGGCAGGATTATAGAAGACACTCAAAGTGGATGGACAGCCCAGGTATGTGGGGGGCGGGGCTTGACTGGAGCTAGGAGATAGGCTCCTGCTGAAGAGTGCCTGAGATAATGAATGTGAATGTAGGGGATTGTGGTGGGTGTTGACGTTATGGCTGCTGTTTGCATTACCAAGTTCCTGAGAGTGAGTGCTGGCCATCAAGCTGGCTTGTGCATTGCCATGAGCGTGTGTGCTAATATGTGGGTTAGCGTTCGTATGTGTGCTGATGCTAACATGCGAGTGTGTGTCGCTGTGGTTATTGCCGTGAACCTGCGGATTAATCAGGGAGTGTTGATGCCCTTGAGGTGCGTACTCTTGATGGTGGTGGTGATAGCTGTAAGCTGCCTGAGAATGGCTTTCCTCTTGAGTGTGGCCTGCAAAAAACACAGTCTCCGTTGCTAAGGCGTCCATCGGGGAGGAGTCCGGGGTGGGTAGGCTGTAGGACTCGAACAGTCCCTGGGCATCACAATACTGAGGTAGGCCAGCCTGAGGCAAACCTACAGGGGGCAGGGAATAACCCACCCCAAGACTGTCCATGCCCAGAGGGGCCGGGGGCTCGGAGGCTCCGGGCAGCAGGAAGCCAGAATCCAGCCGCTTGATCCTCTTCACCTGTTTGCGGCGGCGAGGTCGATACTTATAGTTGGGATGATCCTGCATGTGCTGCACACGCAGCCGCTCCGCCTCCTCCACAAAAGGCCGCTTGTCCACCATAGATAACGCTTTCCATGACTTGCCTATCAAACAGATAAAGTGATACAGTTGTCAGTTCAAGTACTTTCATTTGCTGTTCACCTTTAAGTTAACCACAAAAATTAATAGTTTTTTTATTTAGTTATTAATCTTGTGACTACTATAACTACAGTACTATAGTACTATAAATGATTCAGTTACTGCTGTGAAAATAGTATGTAGTAATGTGTAATCATGAGAGTGAGGAACTTAAGGAGAATTTATAACACACCTTCTCTGTCAAATACAAATTTAAATGGACATTATACCTGAAAACCACCATGATTTAGAATAAAATAAAATCTTTTTTCTTAATGAAGCTAAATTTGATTAGTGGCTTGTAGTTAAATAACAAACATATGTTCAGGGTATTTCTTAGTTTTGACTCATAAAGAGACTCTGTTGTGCTCTTTGGTCTACAGCTATTTATTTTCATGACATGCCCATTGTTTTCTCGCAACATTTTTTGACCCAGTACCAGCATGTTTCCACTGATGGAACTATTTGCTAGACTGTGATTCCACACACAGACATGAAATGTTAAAGGTTCTAACCATACACAGAAGTAAATGATTTGAATAAGTTTATCTTGTGCTTTTGGTCAAAAGCTTGATTTAAAGAGAACAAAAAAATTGTATAGTAGTTTTTTTTAAAGTAAAAAGATATACAGCATGTGCATTTCAATCTTGAACCATGTTAATAATTTTACTTAATAGTACTTTTTTAACTGTGTTATGTAATAGTGTTATATTGTACTGTTACATTTAGTTGACGCTTTTGCCTGAAGCGATATTCCTGCTGCAGGGAGAGTTCAGGAGCAATGTGAGGTTAAGTGCCTCAAGGACACAATGGCTGTAGCGGGCTGTTATCAGCTACGATCAAACCAGTGACCTCTTGTTTTACAGCTAAGCTCCATCAATTGCCTTTATTATATGAGGAAATTTCCTTTCTGTGAAAAAGACTACGCAAAACATATTGCTCAGAAACACATTTATCAGTGATCAAAATACATTTACTTACTCTGAAATGGTTAATAGGTGAATAATATATACAATTAATAAATAGGTTTAATATAAAGAATATAAATTATATATAACAAAATGATTGTCAAATAATAGTCCAGCATTGTTATTTAGCTGTGTATTCTAGCAAATAGAGTACATAGATATATATATATATATATATATATATATATATATATATATATATATATATAAATCCTCTTAAGGTTTGAGGAATATGAAAAGTAGGGTTTGCCATATAAAATGTGAACTCAGTGATAAGTGCTGAGTAAATTAAAACCAACTATTAAACTTGACCAAAATGAGTAGCATTTGGAGGTTAATGATTTCCTAATAAAAATATCAGCAGCCTTTTCAGTTTAAGCAAAGGCACAACTACCTCCTATTAACACACATTCCAAATAACAAGAGGCTCAAACTGCAGGCCTTTAAGATGAACCGCCAAAGTCTTAGTGTGGTCATATCAATATATTGAGTTACAGGCCTTCCGCATTTTTTTCATGTACGCTAGTCTGCTGAGTGGCTTCAGGTGTTCTGAGCGTCAGGTGAGGGGAGACTTTAGTCTGTTTCACTTCTAGCTGGCACTCACTCCTCTATACTTCTGAATGAGCAGAAGGAAATACTGCAATAATGGGGAATTGGATAAAAGATCAGATTTATTATTCATGTACCATGGCCTGCATGTCCCACATTACCATTTAACACACAGTCCTGTTTGACCTTAGGGGCATTAATACCCTTTAGCACCAAAATCAGGCCATAACCATTACTTTAAACTGCACTACAGTGTTTACAGTGAAAGAAAGTCACAAACATTTTTTGTTCTTCTTGGAAAAAGCATAAATTACCTGTAAACATTTGTTTTGCCATATGAAGGCAAGTATAACCACATAATTATCTAAATATGGTTTGTTCCATTTAAATCGTGCTCCCCTCCCCCTTTTTCAATAACTTAAAATCTTCTAATGAAATTAATCTCTGATGAGAGGATTGGTTTTTTTTATATTGGCATGTTAATTCGTGCACAGTGGTTACATAACTGCAGGAAAAGCGCGCTCCCGAGATTTCCCCCCACAAAGCAGGATTTCTCAGTTAGCCGGATACTTTAAGCCCTTAAGCCCTGTCCAGTAGGAGAAGAGATCTTCACTTTTGGCTTAAGTTATCCGTCTCAGTGAGAAACCCTGATAAATACACGCACGCACACACACAGACGCGCGCGCGCGCACTCACCGAGCATCTTGCTGAGCTCTGCGTTGTGCAGGTCCGGGTTCTGCTGCGCGAGCCTCTTGCGCTCGTCTTTGGCCCACACCATGAACGCGTTCATGGGTCTGCGGATGCGCGGCTCCGTGCGCACGCGCCCCGCCTTGCTCTCGCTCGCGGGACTCTGCGCCTCGGTCCACGCGCACCGGCCCGCGCCGGCCATGCTCACGCGCGGCTCGTCGCTGCCGTAGCCCGCATCGGGGCTGCTCATGTCCGACACTTTACTCACACACCCCCAGACCCCCCACCACCGCCCCAATAACGGAGAGCTCTGGGGGGCTTTTAGGTGGTCGTCGCGGCCCGGGACGCGCTCGACGCTCGCGCTAGAGGAGCGAAAAGAGAGCGCGAGAGAGGAGACAAAGTTTAAGAGGTGTGAGCAGAACCGCTACGGCTGCTACTACTTTTCTCACTAGCTGCTGCTGGACGAAGGGAAGCGCGTGAGCTTTAAGCGGAGAGGCGACCAATGGCGCGCGCAGTGGGAGGGCTATGAGGTTGGATAGGTAAGAGTTGCGGTAGGAGACACGAGGCCTGTGGGGAGTTTGGTGGGGCAAGATCTAAAATAAAGTCCCGGGAAAAGCAGCGGGGTTTGATTCTGTTCCGTTTGAGTCACGCAGTAAAACCTGTTGTCTGATCAATGGAGACGTTTTGATTGGTTGTTTATACTGAGATTTTGACTTTATTGGTCACAGCACAATGACTATGAAGGCATGTCTACGAAGATGGACTGTTCTGTATGCCTGTACACTCTTAAAAACGTGGTTCTTCAAGGGTTCTTTAGTAAAGCGAATGGTTCTGTTTAGAATCATGAGTTCCATACAGAACCATTTGCATGCTTAAAAGGTTTTTTGCAAGGTGAAGTGTTTCTTCAGATTGATGGAGAATGTGTTGTATAAAACTCTATATAGAACCTTTTTGAAAATGGTTCTGTGTAGCACCACAAATGGTTCTTCTACTGTTACGATGTGCAGCTTGCAGAAACCTATTCAAAAATTTCTGTATAGAACCTTAGACAACACATTCTGCATCAATCTGAAGAACCACTTCACCTTGCTAAAAACCTCTTAAGCATGAAATAGTTCTATATAGAACTCACGATTCCAAACAGAACAATTTCCTTTTCTAAAGACCCCTTGAAGAACCATCTTTTTTAAGAGTGTAGTTCCCAAACCTGGTTTTGGACTGTCCTGTCCTTCACGTTTTAATTTCCACATCTTACTGTTAGTCTGGCCCACTTCATTCAGGGGTCAAGCTTCAAGTCAGAAAAAGTGGATGTTCTGGTCTTCTTGGCCAAAGAAAAAACAGGCCTGAACCTTAATTTACAAAAATAATTGAAATGTTAGTCCCAAAAATGACAATTAGATATGTTCTCCATATCATTCAGTCCTATTAATTGCTTATTCATATCAGTGGTCATACATATGAAGCATGATTCATCATATCATACCATTTAAAAGACACAAGTGTAAAACGTTTTCTGAGTTTTGACAACATTTCAGCATTGAGCAGGGAAAAATAATAGAATTGTCGTAATGTTATAATGGTATAATATTATAATGTTTAACTTCTCACTTCTCGCTAACCCCCACCTATGATTGAAGGAAAAGCTGAGCTGGCTCCGAGACCCTCCCTGATATCATGTTTCACTTGGAAACACATCACAGGAAGGAAATGCGTTATGATTTCCGATTCACGTTGACTTTAAGAGCTGATTTGTTGAATCAGGTGTGCTTGAGCTTGGTAAACATGAAAATAAGTAAGACTGGACAGCTTCAGTACCAAGACTGAGAACCACTGGTGTTGATTCACCTCTAAAACTCAAGAAACAAGAGCAACAAAAAGTCATCCAACGCATTGAATTTTCTAGTGCTAATAGACTGTCAAGGTAACTGGATTTGTGGTATAAACTTAAAAACATTTAATCATTCAGCTTCATCAGGCCAAAATGTGTTCAGTCACTGGCTGCTGGACTTTGGAAAATGACCTGATGAAGCCCCTCAGATGAATAGAGAAATGTCTTCCAAGTAATGGCACAAGGTCAGTCACATTATAATAGTCCACACACTATAATATACAACAGAACGCTTTCTAGGACTCATTCACTTTGTGTCAGATTTCTTTCTTTGTGAACTTGTGCAGTAGTTGCGGTTGAAGGGATAGCAAGTCTACTATAAGCACAATGAATCAAATTCAGGTGTCACTTACATTATCAGCTCAACACCAATCATTGATACAATTAGATGAGGGGGTGATATCAAAATACAGTACTCCCCACGCAGGCACTGATTTAACACTGCAACTGAATGAAGGGTTAGAATTTCTCACCTTTCACACAGGGGATCAGGGAACAAGTGTATTTGCTGCATTTGCAAACAGTGGCAGCAGAGCAGAAGTGCAGATAATAGTGTGAGAGCAGGGCTTTTCAGATTAGACCATTTAACCCCCCATGGGTTACTCCACTGTGTCTTATAGCTCAACTATGCTGCATAGTTTCATGGGATGCCTGTGCATGAGTCATGTTATCAACTAGTGGTCTAGTTCTTCTGGAGCTGAGTCACATGTGTTAGAGCAGGACAGCATAAAACAGTGTAGGTGGTCTACTGGACTGTTGTTGAAAGACACCGGCCTGCTCTGTCCAGATCAGAGGCCCTGACCACATGCAGTCTGTCAAAGAGTCAGTGTGTGAACCTGTGCAGCGAATGTCTGCTTCATTGCATGAGGAAGTGGTGGCTGTGGTCCTCCAACGCAGGTGTGCTTAACAGGAGCTTCTGCTCGGACTTTTCGTAATTAAGCTGAAAAAGAGGATATACGGTTAGAATAATTCCAATAAAACTGTCAAGTAGATTCACCGGAATGCACTGAAAAAGTCATGTATTGAACCTACTTGATTAAATTGGTGCATAATTTCCACATGAATAAAATGTGTTACAGGAAAGTAAAAACTGTTAGCAAAAGTGAGTAAACTGAAAGACAACATTGTGTTGGTGTAATATATATTTTATTCAAGCGGTAATAATGTTAATTAATTAATTAATGTTAATTATAATCAAGTAGTTAATTGCATACAGTGATATATTTAGCAGCAGACATGAAATGTCTCATTTGGTTACTTTTTAATAATGAAAGATATTTCTAAATATACAGTTTAATATATTTATATGTTGAGTGATGCGGAATTACTCTAAAGATCAACTGTATTTTGGTAGTATATTTTCCGCAGTGAAATATTTTCAACATTTATTTATCATTTTCTTTTCAATTGATCTTAATTTATGCACACAGTAGAAACATTATGATATGATTGTTGAGTGAACAGCATTTACTGTTTACCAACAGAGCATTTTTACAAAATGGGAAATCAATATTAATTGAATATGTGGATGTTTTGTCATATAGTATTGGGACAAAAGTGAACAGTTTGAAACTACAGAAAGAAAAAGGCCACTGTTGAAAAGATAATTTACTACTTAGCTGCACAAAAAAAATTACCAGCAAAAAGTTAGCTTTACTGCATTCACATTTTCTTTCCATACCATCAAACATTCCTGAGTGAGCTAGCTGAGTGTTTTCTCCTGATAGTGAATGGGAGTGGTGGGAAATGAAGTTGAAATATGACATTATTGGTTAATATTATTTTTCCACTGGCTGGTGCACTGTGTATGTATATGTGGGAGAAAAAGATTCTGGGATTATTTGTAATGTAAATGTTGCACAGATTGAACTAAATTTATTTTCAACTCATCACTCCCAGCACATACGTCACTCTTGGCTTTGGTGTCATTCTTTTAGGTTACATGAAAAAAAATTCTACTGATATTTCCTCTTAATAATATTCTGTTTGATGTCTGGGCAGTGTGGCGATCCGCAGTGTCTGAGAGGACCTCTGTGCCAGTCAAGCTGACAGCACCAAATGCTGTATGATGTTTGTAGAGTCAATTCTCGTCTTTCGCTGCGGTGATTCAGCAGAGCGTTTATTATGAGGATTCATTTTGAGAAGTTAGAGCACCTTGTGTGTGTTCTGTGTTCCGGGAATAACTGGGAACTTCACCTAAACCACATCCTATTTTCCAACAACCTTATTCTGTGTGCACGTGTGGGTGTGTGCATGTGTTTGTATGTATGTTTGTTTTCATACATTTTCAGGAGAAAAATATGCTGACTTTATAGGAAAAAACAGAGAAAAAACATTGTTATCATGCTATATGCATACATACTAAGTGACAGTCATTGTTTAAAACAGAAAGGGCAAAGCATGCTCTCTCTCTCTTTATTTTTTGGTAATCACAGTTAAAGTCAGGGTTAGGGCACATACTGTACTGTGCAAAAGTCAAAGACCAGTCAAGTTTGAGTCAGTTATTCTTTTTCAACATAAGAAAAAAAGTAGAAAACATATCGCTGCTGTCAGACCAAAAGCTCGTATCTGCAAAATGGTAACTTTACAGGAGAAGGAAAAAACTTACTTTACTTTTAATGTAAATCAATGGAAGCAGACATTTTTCCAAGTAATTCTGGGCCATTTTTTTTGGTCTATTCATCTTGAAATGTACACACAATATAAAGGACAGTAGGTATTTTCAAATTATGTCAAAAAACTGAAAAACAACAAAAATGGAGATACAAAATTTTGTCTGACAGCAGCGATATATGTAACCCCTTAAAATCCCAGGTCTATTACATACTAAAGCTTATTATTCTTCAATGCAAACGGACAGAGCTATTCTTAGATTATAGAAGTATGTAATAAAACTTTGTGCCTATCGGTGGGCCCTGGCCATTTAAGGCGTTAATAGAAAATACCACAAAAACCTCCAAAACTCAATATTATTTCATTTTTTTCAGTATTTATTGTGTCCACTCTTTGGCTTTATTGTAGCTTCTATTTCTGAATTGCTTTCAGTTTTTTAAGAAATCTTTATGGATATTTTGCCACACCTCCCAAGTTCAGTCTTGATTGTATTTTCTTGATTGTATCCAAGTAATCCCAAACACATTCAATGATGTTGAAGTCTTGACTCTGGGGTGGTCAGTCCATTGGTCTGTGGACTTCAGCAGCTTCTTCATTTGATTTGCAAATTTCTTTTTTTTCTCTCTCTCTCTTTTTTTTGTCTGTTTCCTCTTTTCAGTGACGGCTTCTTGATAACTACACATGCTTTCAGACTCATGAGTTGTCTTCTCACAATGGAAAGATGCACAGAAAGACCTGTGGATTTTTTCAGATCTGAAGAGTGAAGCTTGATTTTCTCCTCTCTCTTAGAGATGAAAACTTTAAGTGCTGTTTATCTGATTGGGACAGTTTTGGTGCTCTACCAGGTCTTGCATGGTTGTTAGGAGTCACATTTTCTCTGTATCTTTTACTCATCTTTTGCATTCCAGTTTTTGGATACTCCTGTTTTTTTACACTTA